TGTTTGTTTTGGTGTGCATTGAGAGCATTTTAGCTATGTTTTCCTGGATATCCTTTAGCTGTTCATTACTCTTGTTTGCATCTCCAAGTTGCTCCTTGTGTTTTCCTCTGGGGGAAGCCATGGCATGTTGGATTCGTGTCACCGCGCCTCTTTACCAACTGATTGGTTCGCTGTTGTACATAACTGACTGTTCACTCTCTCCTGCTTGGAGATATGTTTATTTATCGATTTTAAAGGCTTAATATAAACTTTGTTGTCTGGTTTCTACATTTAACAACAGTTTTGTCGGTACAAACCGGTGCTACTCACACCCAATGCGTCCTATCGGTATGTGCATGCGCCTCTATGTTTTTCATCTCCCACTGAAATGCCCCTGATGTCATTGCTACACCTTATTGCCACAGCCAATAGTTCTATGACCAATGAGAACAGTCCAGGCAACAAAGGACAGCCTTGGCGACAAACCCTACCAATAGAACATATTTCTGATAGCCAACCATTTGTGTTAACTGCTGCTGATGGAGCAGAGTACAGTAATTAATAGAACAATCGCCCAGATTCACCTTTACTAGTACAGATTACACTAATTCCCATTCAACTCTGTCAAAGGCCTTTTCGGCATCTAGAGAGACAATGAGTGAGAGGTCTTTCTTCCTGCCAAGATGGTTTATGATATTCAAAGTGTGTCTCACATTGTCCGTTCCAAATCTGGATTTGACAAAGACAGTCTGACCAGGCTTAATGAGGTCTGGAAGCAGGATTTTCATTCTGCAAGCGTCTTGGCAAGTATATATATATATTTATTTATTTTTTTGCTCCTGAACTTCTTCTACTCTCAACCTCTCCGATCATTGCTTCTAAATGCCATATCTTTCTAACTGTGCTCTTTCCCAAAAGCTCCCAACATACAACCTATATACTTATTATGGACACAGTATGCTTACATTATTAGCTATCTTTGTTATTATTTGTTGTTATTTGTTATTAGTCCCATCCTTCAACTCTATTCAATACCTCCCATCTATCTCTTAACACCATCCATATAGGATTTCTATTTGCCATATATATTTCAACCGTACTGTGATGTTTTACAAAAGTTCTGAACCTTTCTATTTTCATTGCTTCTACAGATTGTGAATTAAAAATAAACATTTTTGCTAAAAGTATTATTATATTATTGATTGATTGACTATGACTTTTCAGATCACCCAGTAATGCTATCTGCAAGGTTAGTTCCAGGTAAATATTGCAATCCTTTAGCCATTCCTGGACCTGTGTCCAAAAACAAGCTACAAATGGACAGAACCAAAACAAATGATCTAATGATTCTATCTCTTCACAGCAAAATCTGCAGAGCTGGGAAGATTGTATCCCCCATATAAATAACATTCTATTGGTAGCAAGAATTTTATATAATAATTTAAATTGAAAGATTCTAATTTTTGAATCCGGTGTCGTTTTGCGTGTCAGTTCATAAACACTATGCCATGGGATCGGTACGTCAAAGATCTCTTCCCAACTATTTTGCAATCTATATGGGACGGCTGTCAATCCTTTGGTCCTTAAGTGAAACTGATATACTTTTTTATTTATCACAGTTTTCCTTAACCAATTATGTTCTTTAATGCAAGGCCGACAGACAAGTTCCTTACTTTCTCCCCCTTCAACTTTCCTCTTCCACTTTTGCGGTAAGGCTGCAATTATTTGGTTGTAATTTTGGGTAGAGCAGACATTTCCATATGTTTTTGTTAGCTGCATGTGCGACATAACTCCACCAGTCCTACCGATGATAACTTAACATCAACTCCGACAAACTAGTTGGTCTAAACAAAGAGCACTCTAATTAACTTTTTTCTTTTTTCAGTAACAGGCTAATGGAGGCAGTTTTTCAGGACTCTGGTATGTGGTCTCTTTCGAACATATCATAAGAGCAGGCATAAAGATAGGGCATATCTCAGGCCACAACTTCTTATAAAACTCTACAGAGGAGCCATCTAGACCAGGTGCCTTTCTGGAGGGCATTGCTTTAATAGCTTCCCAAACCTCTTCGGAAGTAAGGGGAGTATTCAACTTAGTTCTATGCTCATCTGATATAGTGGGTAAAGTGATCTTATTCAGATATCTTGCTTTGTGTGGTCTAAATTGAGTTAGTACAAGTTAGTGAGTTCCAATGTACCTGAGTTGGCGGTTGTTTGTGTTAAAGTTCTAAGTTCTTTACCTCAGCTTTAAAATGTTCCCTCTTTTCCAATCTAAGCTCCTTGATCAGAGATGATTGGGAGATAATATATCCCCTTATGGTTGCTTTAGCAGCATCCCAGATGGTTGCAGCTGAGACAGGAGATAATTTATCACAGTACTAGCTTGACAAACAATTATCTTAAATCACAGTGCATAATCCTTCATTGTACAGGAGAGATGCATTCATTGTTGACCCGGAGTTCTGACAAAACGTGTAAATTATGGTATGCAATAAACCAAAACTTGTTTCTCACAAGTTGACAGTGGTGGAAAAAGTACTTGATTGTCATACTTGAGTAAAAGTAAAAGCCATACATCAAATTCCTTATTTTAAGCAAACCAGACGGCACGATTTTCTTATTTATTTCATTTACAGACAGACAGGGGCACAATCCAACACTCAACATAATTTACAAATGCAGTATTTGTGTTTATTGAGTCCGCCAGATCAGCGGCAGTAGGGATGACAACGTGTTATATTGATAGGTGCATGGATTGGACAAAGGGTGTGCCAAGAGAAAGGTAGGTTGAGGTTGCCAGGATCAGAGTAGTACGTATGCTGAGGCAGTGGAGAGAGTAGTAGAGGAAGATGGGTACAGGGCGAGGGATCCTGAGAGGATCTCTGTGAGTAGGCCGAGGCCAATAGAGAGTGATATGAATATTATGTGCTTCAGTAAGGTGGGTTTCTTAGCAGTTATACCCATGTTTGTCAAATGTACTGCAGAAATGGAACGTACAGTGCCTTCAGAAAGTATTGACACCCCTTGACTTTTTCCACATTTTGTTGTGTTACAGCCTGAATTTTAAATTGATTAAATGTAGATTTGTGTTACTGGCCTACACACAATATCCCATAATGTCAAAGGGGAATTCTGTTTTTCGATTAAAAAAAAAAAAAATTAATTACAAATGAAAAGCTAAAATGTATTGAGTCAATAAGTATTCAACCCCTTTGTTATGGCAAGCCTAAATAAGTTTGTGAGTAAAAATGTTCTTAACAAGTCAGATATTAAGTTACATGGACTCACTCTATGTGTAATAATAATGTTTAACATGATTTTTGAATGACTACCTCATCTCTGTAACCCACACATACAATTATCTGTAAGGTCCCTCAGTCGAGCAGTGAATTTCAAACAGATTTAACAACAAAGACCAGGGAGGTTTTCCAATGCCTTGCAAAGAAGGGCACCTATTGGTAGATGGGTAAAAATAATTAAAAAGCAGACATTGAATATCCATTTGAGCATGGTGAAGTTATTAATTACACTTTGGATGGTGTATCAATAAACCCAGTCACTACAAAAGATACAGCCGTCCTTCCTAACTCAGTTGCCAGAGAGGAATACAACTGCTCAGGGATTTCACCATGAGGCCAATGGTGACTTTAAAACAGTTAGAGTTTAATGGCTGTGATAGGAGAAAACTGAGGATGGATCAACAAGATTATAGTTACTCCACAATACTAACCTAATTGACAAAGTGAAAAGGCTCCCGAGTGGCGCAGTGGTCTAAGGCCACTAGAGATCCTGGTTCGTATCCAGGCTCTGTCGTAGCCGGCCGCGACCGGGAGACCCATGGGGCGGCGCACAATTGGCCCAGCGTCGTCCAGGGTAGGGGAGGGAATGGCCGGCAGGGATGTAGCTCAGTTGATAGAGCATGGCGTTTGCAACGCAAGGGTTGTGGGTTCGTTTCCCATGGGGGGCCAGTATGAAAAAAATAATAATAATTGAAAATAATGTATGCACTCACTAACTGTAAGTCGCTCTGGATAAGAGCGTCTGCTAAATGACTAAAATGTAAACATGTAAAAGAAGGAAGCCTGTACAGAATACAAATATTCCAAAACATGCATCCTGTTTGCAAAGCAGCTTTCTGTGCTTTTATATTAAGTCTTATGTTTGGAGAAAATTAAATACAACAAATTACTGAGTACCACTCTCCATATTTTCAAGCATAGTGGTGGCTGCATCATGTTATGGGTATGCTTGTAATCATTAAGGACTGGGGAGTTTTTCAGGATAAAAGAGAAACAGAATGGAGGTAAGCCCAGGCAAATTCCTAGAGGAAAACCTGGCTCAGTCTGCTTTCCACCAGACACTGGGAGATTAATTCACCTTTCAGAAGGACAGTAACCTAAAACACAAGGCCAAATCTACCCTGGAGTTGCTTACCAAGAAGACAGTGAATGTTCCTGACTGGTCGAGTTACAGTTTTGACTTAAATATGCTTTAAAATCTATGGCAATACATGAAAATGGTTGTCTAGCAATGATCTACAACCAATTTGACAGAGCTTGAAGAATTTTAAAAAGAATAATGGGCAAATGTTGCACAATCCAGGTGTGGAAAGCTCTTAGAGACTTACCCAGAAAGACTGACAGCCATAATCGCTGCCAAAGGTGATTCTTACATGTATTGACTCAGTGTTGAATACTTATCTAATCAACATATATTAGTGTTTTATTTTTCATAAATGTTTTACAAAGTCATAAACACAGGCTATTTCTCAAATTCATCTTCTTAAAAAGTTATTATAAAACCTAACCTTAACCACACTGCTAACCTTATGCCTAACCTTCAATTAAGACAAATCTAATTTTGGTTTTCATGAATGTTTACGATATAGCCAATTTTTTACTTTGTGGCTGGGGTAACTAATGGAAACCAATATTTGGTCCTCACTCATGTTGTATTTGACTTCCTTTGTGATTGGTTGACAGCTTCAGCAGCGTGAAGAATGGCAACCATGTCCTGTTCAGAGAGTTTATCTACATCAAGGCCACAGCTCATAACAGGGCCTCCTTTATCCGCGTTCTCTGGAGGTGCATCAGACAGATTGGAAAGAAGGAAGGCAGGTCTAATGTGAGTGTGTCTGTGTGATGTGGTAACACTGTCTTTGACCATATGAGAAATGTGAATATAATTTAGTAAAAAAGTTATGGAATTCTACTCTATTATAAAAAGGACCTCCTGTGTGTGCCGTTGAGTTATATACAGTAGATACAATGAATATCCCTGGTGTTTGTCAGTGTTGTTATAGGTTATGTGCTCTGCTTGCTACAGACTTCCTGGCCATGTTGGAGTACAGCTCTCTTCTGCAGCTCCTCTGTCCAGACATTCAAGTGGAGATGGTACAACATGCAGCAAGGTCTGTGATTTGGCATTATTCATTGAAATTGTCCAGTATTACATTACATTAAGTTAAGCATGCTTTCATCTCTGGATTGTCAAGACATGACTGTGAACCTTTCAAGTATACACTATGGCCATATCCAACTCATATCTTTCAACATAGGATAGTGCTGATGGATGATGCCATGGACTGCCTCATGTTCTCACACTTCCTCTACTCTTTCCAAATCCAGTTCTACTTTGAAGGTAATTTCGTCTGCACAAAGCAACGACCAGAGAAATTGGTTTACTACTGCGTAGTACATTATCCAGGTCTCTGTATATATAGCCTCCCTACTGTTATTTTATTTTACTTCTGCTCTTTTAATCTCAACACTTTTTGTTGTTGTTTTATTTTACTTTTTTATTTAAAATAAATGCACTGTTGGTTAAGGGCTGTAAGTAAGCATTTCACTGTAATGTCTGCACCTGTTGTATTCGGCGCATGTGGCCAATAGAATTTGATTTGATTGAAATAAAGGTGACTAAAACAAAAATGATGATCACATAACTCCAAATCTAGAGCCCTAGCTCCTTTTCAGCCTCTGATTGGGTAGACTCTAGAATGCACAGTGTCACCTGAAATCCTGTATCCTTTTACTTTCCACTTAGAGTTCCTGGAGATCATTGCTGTGATCTACCAGGACCTGCTGTCAGGGAAGAGCCCCAACACTGTGATCATCCCCACCTCTACCTCAGTGAAACAGCTCCCCCTGGTGGCCACAGAGGAAACAGACTCAGGAAGGAGTGGGCTCATCTGTGTTCGGAGAATGCTTTGAGGGACTTTGTGAGAGGTTCAAACACAAGTAAGGAACAGTTTCATTACAATAAATTGCTCTAAATAAATCTGAAGATTACAATGACAATAGAAATAATCAATGATTTTCAGTCAACATTTGTACTCACAAGATTATACCTCTTTGTGAGGCTCTTCCTGGGATTAGTAATTGGCCTAAAAGGACAAATACAGTTGTATTCAATTTAACTAGGATACATAATGCTTGATTAAGTTAGTGATTTATTGATATTGTGTGTTTCTACATAGCCATCCTTCTACACCTGCCTTTAGAGAGGTCATGGAGAAAACACAGAGTAACCTATGGCTTTGTGATGGCTCTGGTCAGACATGAGGATGTCAACCAGGACATTGGTGAGAACTACAGTGTTGTTTTCTGTTCATAACAAAGACTACTGTTCTCATAATGCAATACAAATGCAAGCCATGCAATACTACAATGAACCTTGGCAGGCTTTTCATTTTAACATATCACCATTACAATGGGCGTGGGCTGCTTATCTGATGTTCATAACTGTGTGTTGTCGCTGCTAGGTGCCCTGCCAAAAAAGTCAGAGCTGCTCATTGACCCTGAGATGGACCAGGAGGTGGATAAACTGAGTAAACTGGAGCACAGAACCTACTTAATTTAGTTCCATTCTGACCAATATTGAAACCTTACATTCACCCATGTTTCTAATACTAATACTGTTGAAAATGTTTATAATTGGAATCCTTAATTGGTGCAACTGGCACATCCATTTTGGATGTTACAACAACAAAGAAGTTACTGCAAACAACGAACACTGTTTTTCCCCCCCTCGGACATCATTGCACACGCGACAGAAGAATATATATATACACTACCGTTCAAAAGTTTGGGGTCACTTACAAATGTCCTTGTTTTCGAAAGAAAAGCAATTTTTTTGTCCATTAAATTTACATCAAATTGATCAGAAATACAGTGTAGACATTGTTAATGTTCTAAATGGCTATTGTAGCTGGAAACGGCTGTTTTTTAATGGAATATCTACAAAGGCGTACAGAGGCCCATTATCAGCAACCATCAGTCCTGTGTTCCAATGGCACGTTGTGTTTGCCAATCCAAGTTTATCATTTTAAAAGGCTAATTGATCATTAGAAAACCCTTTTGCAATTGTTAGCACAGCTGAAAACTGTTGTGCTGATTAAAAAAGCAATAAAACTGGCCTTCTTGAGACTAGTTGAGTATCTGGAGCATCAGCAATTGTGGGTTCGATTACAGGCTCAAAATGGCCAGAAACAAAGAACTTTCTTCTGAAACTCGTCAGTCTATTCTTGTTTGGAGAAATGAAGGCTATTCCATGCAAGAAATTGCCAAGAAACTGAAGATCTCGTACAATGCTGTGTACTACTCCCTTCACAGAACAGCGCAAACTGGCTCTAACCAGAATAGAAAGAGGAGTGGGAGGCCCAGGTGCACAACTGAGCAAGAGGAAAAATACATTAGTGTCTAGTTTGAGAAACATACGCCTCACAGGTCCTCAAATGTCAGCTTCATTAAATAGTACCCGCAAAACACCAGTCTCAACATCAACACTGAAGAGGCGACTCCGGGATGCTGACCTTCTAGGCAGAGTTGCAAAGAAAAAGCCATATCTCAGACCGGCCAATAAAAATAAAAGATTAAGATGGGCAAAAGAACACAGACACTGGACAGAGGAAGATTGGAAAAAATTGTTATGGACAGACGAATCGAAGTTTGAGGTGTTCGGATCACAAAGAAGAACATTTGTGAGACGCAGACCAAATGAAAAGATGCTGGAGGACTGCTTGATGCCATCTGTCAAGCATGGTGGAGGCAATGTGATGGTCTGGGGGTGCTTTGGTGGTGGTAAAGTGGGAGATTTGTACAGGGTAAAAGGGACCTTGAAGAAGGAAGGCTATCACTCCATTTTGCAACGCCATGCCAAACCCTGTGGACGGTGCTTGATTGGAGCCAATTTCCTCCTACAACAGGACAATGACCCAAAGCACAGCTCCAAACTATGCAATAACTATTTAGGGAAGAAGCAGTCAGCTGGTATTCTGTCTATAATGGAGTGGCCTGCACAGTCACCAGATCTCAACCCTATTGAGCTGTTGTGGGAGCAGCTTGACCGTATGGTACGTAAGAAGTGCCCATCAAGCCAATCCAACATGTGGGAGGTGCTTCAGGAAGCATGGGGTGAAATCTCTCCAGATTACCTCAACAAATTGACAACTAGAATGCCAAAGGCCTGCAAGGCTGTAATTGCTGCAAATGGAGGATTCTTCGACGAAAGCAAAGTTTGAAGGACACAATTATTATTTCAATTAAAAATCATTATTTCTAACCTTGTCAATGACTACATTTCCTATTCATTTTGCTATATTTCCTATTCAAACTCATTTCATGTATGTTTTCCTGGAAAACAAGGAAATGTCTAAGTGACCCCAAACTTTTGAACAGTAGTGTATATATATTTTGTTCTCCACATTGCCGAATCCTCCTCTCCTCTCCTCCATTTTCAGAAAAATAATACAAATAATAAAAGGTGCTGGGCGACCAGTGTTTCCCCTAATGCAGATTAAATATTTAATATTTAACTTGTAAACTGTGAACAAAGCTTTAGGTATAGCTAATAGCAACTAACTTCAAAGTACTGTTGTTATGGAGTAGGTCATAGAATCACATATTTGAAACTCACATTGCATACCTTGAAATTAATCTAATATTACCCTTCAGTGTTGTCACCCTCAGCATCAAATAGTATTATATTGTAATAATAATAATAATAATAATATGCCATTTAGCAGACGCTTTTATCCAAAGCGACTTACAGTCATGCGTGCATACATTTTTTGTGTATGGGTGGTCCCGGGGATCGAACCCACTACCTTGGCGTTACAAGCGCCGTGCTCTACCAGCTGAGCTACAGAGGACCATTGTATCTCTTTCCACAGCATTACCCAGATTGCTATCAGTCCCACGTCCAACAGAAGCGCACCCGGACACAAAGAGCCCCTGAGGAAAGCCTCCCCACGCAAGTCCCACCACCACCGCAAGAGGATCAAGTTGGAAAGCGATGGATCCACAGAGACGACTCCTCAGAGAACTGAGGCTGACCTCACAATGGCCCTGTGAGGCTGTGTTTACACAGGCAGACAAATTCTGATATTTCTTTCCACTAATTGGTATTTTGACCAATCAGATCAGCTCTGAAAAAGAGCTGATGTGAAAAGATCTGATGTGATCGGTCAAAAGACCAATTAGTGGAAAAAATATCAGAATTGGTGTACCTGTGTAAATGCAGACAAAGATGATCTATTATACCGACAACATAGCCGAGTGACCGCTCTAACACTGGAAATACATTTACATGTCCTCAATGATTGAAGGCAGTCGAGATCAGGTGGGACCATTCTAGCCAATGAGTGGGCAGATATGCGTGTGAACAACAGGTACTTTTCCTCAAAGTTGCCAAAATGCCACGTGCATCCACTTATATCTGTACATTTGTAACAGCCTAAACATTACGAAACTTATTTTCAATCAAATAAGCCCCACATAATTCGACACTCATAGAACTCAATACGAAAAAGGGTTTCTCACGTGGACAGATTCTTGGGTGGAGTAAAACCTCTCACTTGGCCTCCTCCTCTATGACACAGCCATAGAGACTCACCTACTTCCCCAATGGTCTACTCTCTAAATGGCCCTTGGCCTCCTGTGTTATACTCCCACTGACTGACTAAAAATCTTATTGACCCTGTTACATCTATAACCCCTCCCTCTTGACAGCAGAGAAAAAAACAATTTTGCCATGGGGCGTAGAGAGGATTTAGACATTTTAAATCAAGTTTGCTGCAAATATACACATTTTGCCATGGGGCGGAGAGAAGATTTTGCAATTTTATAAATAATTTCTTGCAATTCTACTCATTTTTCCATTGGGCGGAGAGAAATGTTTGCAGTCTTTATTATGATATCCGAGTGACAGTGACAAGAAAATCAATGGGGGCTCCAGTCGGTAATTCGACCACGATTACTACAAGTTTAGATAGCTGGCCGATAGACTAATTTACCAATCTAAAAAATGTTAGCTGACATGGGCTAATTGAGTGACTTGCCAGTGACTGACATAATAGAAAAACTGCTGATGCGCAACCAAATTTCAAAATCGCACCTTGTGTGTTCTAACTCTCAACAGTAAGTTGAGACCCCGACTGAGTTTCAGAGAAGTTCAGAGAGGATTTAAACACCTTCAGATTTAATGACAAGAATTGACCTCCTGTTTCTTTCTCTACATCGTTTTGTTTGACATTGATATCATGCAATACACGTTGGGTTTGATCAAATCTACTGTAGGACATTTCATTTACAAACAGCATATTGTACAGGTAATACGTCTGTCCCACAGTGCCAGGAGAATAATCTCAAATAAAAAGGAAATACATACTGTAAACAGTAATCACAATAATTAGAAAATAGGCACTACTTGTGGTTTTGATTTCCGAACACGTGCCTTCTGGATGACTTTTAAAGTGGTAAGACCACAGTGATTCCAAGATCATATGTATTTAAATATTTTCCTTATACAGTGATTCCACCTTACAATTTTGGCCAAACATATTGTTTCCAGGTTACAGTAGGAGTAGTATTAATACGTAGGGCTTTTTTGTCTGTAGATTGTCATTTTTGAGGGTCACCCGGATAGAATTCCAAACAGAACGTGATAGAGCATGATGTAATTATGTAGGAAACAATGTTATTAGGCTACCATTCTTAACTTACACCTGCTTACCCACCAATAGACATGAATTCTTAAATAACAGACTACTATTTTCCATTTCTTAAATTGAAATGACATTCCTTTCACGACAGTAAAAAAATAAGAGTCAATTTACCTTTTTGGTATTGGCAGATAGATGACAAGCCCCAGTCAGAGTTAATTTTCACATAGTTAATTGGTGAGAATGCACTGACGGACTGCATTTCATTTAAAGCCTGTCATGATGTGATGGACCATTATTCCATAAATAAACTTTCCAACATACATACTAACTGAATCTGAAATCAAACAGTGTGATACTAAAAACAGTCCAGGGACACGTAGACAGATTGAAATCACTGCCACTGTCTTCCTCCGTACAGAGACGAGGTTTCCAGGTGACTTGATAGTGATCTCATATAATTTGGAATAGCTCATAAAGCCACAAACATATTCTATCTTGATATTGAGTGTGATCTGTAACTACTTGTTGGTTTCTCTGTACAGTAGTACCGTCCTCACATTTGGCTGCACACTTTACAGTTAACAGTACTGTACCTTTGGCCAATAACCTTTGTGAGGAAGATGCATCTATGCTCTTTTAGATAGGACTGGTAACGCTTTAGTTTGGGTATTTCTGTAGACATGTTTGTGCTGTAGAAACATGACAGTGAGTAGAAAGCTGCACCAAGGAGATTGTGTTGCAGATCAGTATTACTAAATGGTTATTTACTGGCATATTGTAAATATTTATTTTAGGAGGCGGCCAAAGCGTTACCATTCATTGCAGTTTAAAATCCACCATGCAAGTTGTTTCATCATGACACAATATTGGAGAAATATACTATTGAGAGAACGCTATTCAATGAAGATGTCCTCTGTTGGGCAGGAGTATCCCACTGTTTCCTTGTAGTACAGTTGGAAGGCTTTCCTATATGTACAGGAACAACAAAAGAGGAGTTAGGTACAAATAGTCAGTAGTAATTTGTTAATAGAAACATGTGTTTATATAAACAGTGCGATGTACATGTACATTAGCATATTTGGATAGTAAGAAGGGATGAGTGGTAGAGAGAAAGGAGGAAAGATTAAGTTGAGAGCTTACCCAACAGACGCAGCCAGTGGCATCATGGAGTCATCTGACATGAAGACATGACAAGCAAACCGCTTATGATCAGGATGTTTAGTGATGAATCCAAAATACCTGGATGGGAGAGCGCAATGGGAGAGACATGATGCAATATGCTCCAGATACAGTGTCTAGAGTTGAGTAGCAACTCTCAATTGCTAGTCTTTGTACCCTTGAGTTACAGCTTTTTAAAATCCCATATTTCTTTATGCAATGAATCCGCTTTTGTACAGTATTTATATAGCTTTAAGTTGAATTACTTCCTTAGTTTAGTATGTGTCATGATAGTTAATTTACTCACTTGTTATGTTTTGGGTGACAGCCGCAAAATGAGATGTTCTTAAGCTGAAAAAAGTGAAAGCACTTATCCCCCTGTGAAAATATACATAGAGATGAGAGATAGTCACGGTCAGTTGCTGCACTAGCGTGTGATGTCAGAGAAAGTACAGTTATAGAATTAGAACAAGTACTCATAGAATGTATCCTACTCATTCTGTTGCTATGGGCACAGTTACTATTGAGCCTGAGTGAAGGCATCATGCTAGCATGGAAGCCCGTCTGTTTCTGCTCATGTTTGGCATGTCATCCAATCGGCAGAAACAGACTGACACGCAGGCCACAGCACACCAGTTAAACAGAATATTAAGCTGAGACCCTATGGTCTGTGTCTGAGAGCTTGTTCATACAGTAAGCCAGTCCAAAAGGGCACACTGTCGGTGCACCACGAGTGAGGAGGCTTAAAAAGTCTTAAGACTGAGTGGTCATAATGCAAGACTGTGAACAGACTGGCAGTGTCCACCCTGCTAACACACTGTGAACAGACTGGCAGTGTCCACCCTGCTACCACACTGTGAACAGACTGGCAGTGTCCACCCTGCTACCACACTGTGAACAGACTGGCAGTGTCCACCCTGCTACCACACTGTGAACAGACTGGCAGTGTCCACCCTGCTACCACACTGTGAACAGACTGGCAGTGTCCACCCTGCTACCACACTGTGAACAGACTGGCAGTGTCCACCCTGCTACCACACTGTGAACAGACTGGCAGTGTCCACCCTGCTACCACACTGTGAACAGACTGGCAGTGTCCACCCTGCTAACACACTGTGAACAGACTGGCAGTGTCCACCCTGCTACCACACTGTGAACAGACTGGCAGTGTCCACCCTGCTACCACAACATGTATCTAGCTAATCCAAATGAAACATGGGCCTTGAACAATGATGCATAAACTAATAACAGTGAAGCATGGAATAAGGCCATTTTAGGGTATAAGAGAGGACATACTCTTTCCGAGGTCCTGCATTCATCTTGCACTATGATCTTCACCCCCTTCATGTTGATCTCCAGAATACATGTCGAGGGAGGCTGCATGGTCATCCGCCGGTTGGTAGCAATCTATTGACCGAACAAGAACAACATAGTCAGATTCAAATACCGTGTTTACTTGTGTACCTTTTAATTTAGCAAATCCAGTCTCAGACTTTTCTGTAAGTACAGTTAACTTCCAGATCACATTCCGTCTACATTAATTCCAAATGAGGATTGTGAAACGAGGGTTTAGATTAGAAACTCCAGCACACCACTAGGGGGGCTAATACTCTACCTTTTGCATAGCAGCACAAAGCACATCGTTGCCTTTGTGGTACGGTACGTTAACAGAGCCAAGGAACTTCACACGGAATCTGTCAACCCAGTCATCTTTGTCATCTAATTGATATAAGAGGAGAGAATGGTTTGATTTACAGTTAGGAGCATTACATACTGGTATTAATAGCAGTGAAGAGCTGTCATTATTTGGGTAAGACAAGGGCAAATTTCAACAACATTCAATGCTGGTCCGCACAGATTTCATTTCATCAGCATAGTATCCAGTAGAGGTTCATTCAGAGCCAATTACTGCTTTTTAAAGAACCTTTTTGTGTTCTCTCCAAAAGACCAACTCCTACTGGCTGTTTGGTATGACAATGAGTGGCAAGGAGTTGGCAAGAGAGCACGAACAGACTGGCACTCAGGCTAATTTCTTTCAGGCATTTCGTAGAATGCCCATATTGATCCTATAACCAAACATTGATGCCCAAAGTGTATTGATGGCATTACCTTTGCTATGTTCAAATCCCTTATAATGGATTAAATCAAATACAATAAAACACTGTGTAATGGGTTAAATAAACCATAATAAACACTGTGTAATGGGTTAAATAAACCATAATAAACACTGTGTAATGGGTTAAATAAACCATAATAAACACTGTGTAATGGGTTAAATAAACCATAATAAACACTGTGTAATGTGTTAAATAAACCATAATAAACACTGTGTAATGGGTTAAATAAACCATAATAAACACTGTGTAATGGGTTAAATAAACCATAATAAACACTGTAATGGGTTAAATAAACCATAATAAACACTGTGTAATGGGTTAAATAAACCATAATAAACACTGTGTAATGGGTTAAATAAACCATAATAAACACTGTAATGGGTTAAATAAACCATAATAAACACTGTGTAATGGGTTAAATAAACCATAATAAACACTGTGTAATGGGTTAAATAAACCATAATAAACACTGTGTAATGGGTTAAATAAACCATAATAAACACTGTGGTCATGGGTTAAATAAACCATAATAAACACTGTGTAATGGGTTAAATAAACCATAATAAACACTGTGTAATGGGTTAAATAAACCATAATAAACACTGTGTAATGGGTTAAATAAACCATAATAAACACTGTGTAATGGGTTAAATAAACCATAATAAACACTGTGTAATGGGTTAAATAACCATAATAAACACTGTGTAATGGGTTAAATAAACCATAATAAACACTGTGTAATGGGTTAAATAAACCATAATAAACACTGTGTAATGGGTTAAATAAACCATAATAAACACTGTGTAATGGGTTAAATAAACCATAATAAACACTGTGTAATGGGTTAAATAAACCATAATAAACACTGTGTAATGGGTTAAATAAACCATAATAAACACTGTGTAATGGGTTAAATAAACCATAATAAACACTGTGTCATGGGTTAAATAAACCATAATAAACACTGTGTAATGGGTTAAATAAACCATAATAAACACTGTGTAATGGGTTAAATAAACCATAATAAACACTGTGTAATGGGTTAAATAAACCATAATAAACACTGTGTAATGGGTTAAATAAACCATATTTGATACCTTTGCTGTGTTCCAGTGTGACCTTGGCAGCGTAGTAGGCAGGGAAGATGCCGCTGGCCCCAGTCCTCATGTTGTAGGCCTTACACCACAGGTCATCAGCCTGAACCTCCATCAGCAGGGGGTCATCCACCTCTAGCATCAGCTCATCGTCATGGCGAGGGATGAACCTGTCAATCACACAGACAGCATGGGTAATCAATAAATCAATCAAAATGTATTTAGAAAGTCGTTTTTTACATCACCAGTTGTCACAAAGTGCTTTACAGTAACCCAGCCTGGACCCAAAGAGCAAGCAGGAGCACAGTGGGAAGGAAAACCATTCCACAGTGGATGCAAAAGAAACACTGCGAGCATGGAATTATGCATGGTACATCTTGCTAACGAGGTGGTGATTACATGAGGACACTAACTAAATGTCAGACCATTATGATGTTGTGTTTGATGTTTATCCATGTAATGAATCTTTAATGCGTTTGTCAGCGCCTGAAGGAGGACCCTGTGTAAGACTGCTTTAAGCATTCATAAATATGTATAACCCATTTACAGTGCATTCGGAAAGTATTCAGACCCCTTCTCCACATTTTGTTACGTTACAGTCTTATTCTAAAATGGATTAAATACAAATACATTCTCATCAATCTACACACAATACCCCATAATGGCAAAGCGAAAACAGGTTTTTAGAAAGTTTAGCAAATGTATTAAAAATAAAAAACAGAAATACCTTATTTACATAAGTATTCAGACCCTTTGCTATGAAACTCGAAATTGAGCTCAGGTGCATCCTGTTTCCATTGATCATCCTTGAGATGTTTCTACAACTTGATTGGAGTCCACCTGTGGTACATTCAATTGACTGGACATGATTTGGAAAAGGCACACACCTGTCTATATAAGGTCCCACAGTTGACAGTGCATGTCAGAGCAAAAACCAAGCCATGAGGTCGAAGGAATTGTTCGTAGAGCTCTGAGACAGGATTATGTCCAGGCACAGATCTGGGGAAGGGTAGCAAAAAATTTCTGCAGCATTGAAGGTCCCCAAGAACACAGTGGACTCCAAAATTCTTAAATGGAAGAAGTTTGGAACCACCAACTCTTCCTAGAGCAGGGTGCCCGGGGGAGAAGGGCCTTGGTCAGGGAGGTGACCAAGAACCCGATGGTCACTCTGACAAAGCTCCAGAGGTCCTCTGTGGAGATGGGAGAACCTTCCAGAAGGACAACAATCTCTGCAGCACTCCACCAATCAGGCCTTTATGGTAGAGTGGCCGGACGGAAGCCACTCCTCAGTAAAAGGCACATGACAGCCCACTTGGAGTTTGCCAAAAGGCACCTAAAGGACTCTCAGACCATGAGAAACAAGATTCTCTGGTCTGATGAAACCAAGATTGAACTCTTTGGCCTGAATGCCATGCGTCACGTCTGGAGGAAACCTGGCACCATCCCTACGGTGAAGCATGGTGGTGGCAGCATCATGCTGTGGGGCTGTTTTCAGCGGCAGGGACTGGGTTGAGGATCGAGGGAAAGATGAACGGAGCAAAGTACAGAGAAATCCTTAATTAAAACCTGCTCCTGAGAGACTGGGGCGAAGGTTCACCTTCTAACAGGACAACGACCCTAAACACACAGCCAAGACAATGCAGGAGTGGCTTCGGGACAAGTCTCTGAATGTCCTTGAGTTGCCCAGCCAGTGCACGGACTTGAGCCTGATCGAACATCTCTGGAGAGACCTGCAAATAGCTTGAGAGGATCTGCAGAGAAGAATGGGAGAAACTCTCCAAATACAGGTGTGCCAAGCTTGTACCGACATACCCAAGAAGACTCGAGGCTGTAATCGCTGCCAAAGGTGCTTCAACAAAGTATTGAGTAAAGGGTCTGAATACTTATGTAAATGTAATATTTTAAATTTTTAAAACATTTGCTAACATTTCTAAAAACCTGTTTTTGCTTTGTCATTATGGGGTATTTGGTGTAGATTGATGAGGGGAAAAAACTATTTAATCAATTTTAGAATAAGGCTGTAACGTAACAAAATGTGGAAAAAGTAAAGGGGTCTGAATACTTTCTGAATGAACTGTATAATGGCTTATTCATGAAGGTTATTATACAGAGTAACCCCAGACAATGTCTCACCTGAACACAGCTCTGTGGCTCTGCTCCTTCTCTACCCCATCTAACACACAGGAGAACAGGCCAAAGGACTCTGCACCTGGAGGACACAAGGCAGGAGAAGAGCTTTATGGCCCTAGTACATTAATAGTGCCAAAAAAACCTGATACGGGAGTGACTTTGGGGACTGGTCATTCTTGAACCTTTGTAGCTCCTGTGTAGTAAGTGGTAATCTAATGTTTCTTCCTTCAGAAATATGGTTTCAATGAAATTGCAATACAACTGAGAAATAACATAACCTTGAGCCAGGTCTCCCTCGAAAAAAGGTTATTCATCCCAAGAGACTTCCTGGTTCAATAAAGGTTTAAAAAGAAAATAAAAAAAAAGGATGGCAGCAGCCGGTCATAGAACTCACCAGAGGAGCGTAAATGTCCGTTCACAAACACATTGAGGAACTTGCGTGTTCGAGGTCCCCCGCCAACCCCTGCCTCAGATGACGAAGCAGCCCTGGACAAGCGTGATGACTTTCTCCTTTCTCTTTTCAGCTCGCTGCGATCCACCTCATAGTCCTCCTCCTCGTTGGCTGACTCATACACTGTCTCTGTGTCGCTGTCCTCACTGTAGCTATGGTAACACTGCTTCAAGCTCACCAGTTCTAGCTGGGCGTGCTCGTCCACCACCAGGGTGTACTTTACAGAGTCATAAGACAGGCCATCGGCCTCGGCGCTCCGAGTCCGCAGAGCCCCCAACTCACCCTTAGATCTACACTTAGAGCCTCTGTCACACACCCCCCTGTCCTGGTCCCCTCCCTCACTGACGGATGGCCTAAAGCACGAGGAGGAGGAGCGTGGAGGAGGTGCAGAGGGGTGCAGGTAGACCTCGTCCTCCTCGCTGATGGAGGGGTTTGTTCGGTCGGGGAGGGCGGTGTTTGGGTATGCTGGGGGTCCCTCTGCATCGGAGCTGATGGACATGCGATTGCCCTCGCTGCTTTGAGACAGGAAGGGACGGACAGTGTCACAGTCAGTGTCAGGGTTCTTCTGGTGTACCGGGGTCAGGTAGATCTCCTCAGTGGCCTCTGGCTGGAGCTCCTCCTCCTGGCAGCAGCCCCGAACCTGCCCTCGCCCCTGTCCTCCACCTTGCCCCCTGCTACCGTCCCTATTCCTGTCCCCCTCCACAGCAGTGTCTCTCATGCTGCCTGCTTTGGGTTTTGCTGCTTTAACCTGGTTGTGTGGAGCAGCGGAGGGCTTCTTAGTCCGCTGTTTGGCGTCTCGCTGTCGGCCCCGTGTTTCTGTAGCTCCGTGTGAGATGAACGTGGCGTAGTCCTTGCTGTGTGCCTTGACTGCCTTCTCTGTCCCTCTGTTTTGTGGTGGTTTGGCCACGGAGCCGTCACCGTTGTGCTGCTGCACAGCCTCGTCATTCACCTGCTCATTAGTGGGCGTTAGATCCCCTTTAACACACACGAGGCACACAAAGAAACACAACAACAACGCACGCAAAAACAAAAGATTATTCATTAGTCACCAAACTTTACAGTGAAGGATTATTAAGGGCTACAGTAATAATAGGATCCATTCTGCATACTGTATAGAGTTTCAGAATGAGAGCCATTGGTGTGTTTCGAATCCAACATGTTCTGTTATACAGAAATATGAGAATACTGAGAAAGCGCTGGGCTTCCATGTTCCCATGTTCCCACAGTCATTTTATGAAGGAATGAGCGGAGTAGAGTATGGTGAAATACGGTCGCATTGGCTACAATATGTGCAATTACTCTGTGCTCATTGACATTAAATAAAACGTGTCTAGACAAATTTCATAGAAAATTATTAATGATTAATTACATTTACATTTACGTCATTTAGCAGACTTAATTATACATTTCCTTAATACTTTAACTTCTGCAAAATCAAACATTGTTGCTTTGTTTAAAGTTGATGTTGGTATTATTCTTAAAAGAAAGTACTGTCTACCAGTAGATGTTTATGGTTTAAACCAGTGGATATTCCATTCTCACCTGTTATGTGGGGGGAGGAGGAGTTTGAGTTTGATACATTGTCCTTCCACGTGTCCTTCTTTCCAAACGAGTTGTTGTTAATGGTGTCCTTGTCCTACAGTGATATTACAGACACACAGAGAGAGAGAGAGAGAGAGAGAGGAGAGAGAGAGAGAGAGAGAGAGGAGAGAGAGAGAGAGAGAGGAGAGAGAGAGAGAGAGAGAGAGAGGAGGAGAGAGAGAGAGAGAGAGAGAGAGAGAGAGAGAAGAGAGGGAGAGAGAGTTACATTTTAAATTTGATAAACATTACATCACCCTTTAAGAGTGTGCACAGTGCACAAGCACACACACAAAGGAGTGGCTTTTAGAAAGCCTGAGTGTTGTTTTGCCTAGCTATGGCTGTTTTTTTATTCTCTATTATTACCAGAGAGCCAGTCCAGCCCAGTCCCGCCCAGCCCACAGCTCTTTTAGCCAAGCAGCACTACGATCAATGACTGTCTCAGTTTCCAATCACATATACCCAGCCCTAGACTCCGTTCCAGGCTTCCTGCAGCCGAATGAAGAACCAGAGCCACCTAAATCTAAACCCATCTAAATATATGGCTCTGCGCGAGACTAACCAAGCACTGATGACATCACACACGCCACCACAATCTGATCCGGCTGCCAGGAAGAGGAATCAGGAATGAGCCAGTAAAGAGGAGGAAGTCAAGGCTCCTACACTAACACAGCTCACTGTCTGTCATAGAGACCATTCACAGTGATGGTGCTGACTCACTGTGGTGATGCAGCTGCTGCTGCCGGGCACTGCCACGGTTACCATGGTTACCGTGCCCCACAACCCGGAGGAAAGAGAGAGTGTGTGTGTGTTTATTTGGTGTGTGTGTGTGTGTGTGCTGATAGAACAGTTTGATGTTGAAATGTTCCTCGTGAAGAATTGGTTCTATTTATGAAATAAAGGAGAGTCATTTTGGAGTTCATGAAATCCCCCGGGTATCAAACTCATTACTTACTGTGTTAGCCCTCTGGTAGCTAACAAGTCTTCATGTCTCCAGTAAGGTTTCTCATCATTAGAACCTAGCTGGATTACTCATCATAGCTGGAACCTCTGGAAGACTTCACCCCCAGAAGCTGATACCCATCAACTGTGTAATCTGATTCATGGCACCAACATAACCAGGTTAGCCCACGCTACAGCCTAGACATATTTCCTCTGAGATACAAGTCTATTGAGATGTTAGACACATCACCTGGCACAGTTAACAGTGGATTCCCTATAGTTTCAAGTTTTATTAGTCATATGTACGGGATACGTGTGGTATACACCGTCCAATGAAATGCTTACTTGCAGGTTCCTTCTGGACAATGCAACAACAATAAGAAATAATAAAATATAAGAATATGAACATAAAGTCAATGGCAGTAGACTATAATAAACATTTTAGCATCAGTATAATACAGGAAGGCACAATTTATAGTCCAATATTTACATGTGTTTTGGGGAAGGGGGGATGGGGGGCAAGTATTTAAATGGTGCAGTATTTAGCAATCATAATAAGAGTCTGGTAGGTGCCATGTCGAATATCCATGATCAGATAAGTGGCTATGGCTTATGAAAAGCACAGCTGAAATAAACAACTACGATGGCTGTCATGATAATTGAACTGCCTTGAGCTCCATAAGCTCCATTGGCTACCCACACACACACACAGCTCAACCCATCCCTCACAACAGCCTGATGTAACCAGGTGGGACACGTAGTGACGGCAACAGCCATGGTGACATATGGCTGGGAGTCCCTCTCTCTAGTCTAAACAAAAAGCTAAATCCTCCAATGTACTCGTTCACCTTGAACACATTATAAACCTGACTGGGTGTGGTATAGAGACACTTGATCTGGAGGGGGATCTGAAAATAGGTAGTGCCAACATTCAGATAACAGATCTGGGACCAGGCTAAGTGCTGCATTGCTACAGCACAAGTTTGTGCGGTCTTGCTACAGAAACAGATCTGGGACCAGGCTATTACGCCGATTTCACTGCCTATTCCACAGTTCTTGAGAATAGCTCCTTATGGATGAAGTGTCTCTGTCTGTATCAGGCTACCACTCTGACTGTAGGAGTGAGACATAAAACATGGTTAGCCTAATCCTCTCCGACCCCAACACAGGGTGAGATCACGAGCAGCAGGGCTCAGGAGCAGAGTTCAGGCCGTGCCACACACAGAGACGTGACCAGGACTGACAGGGCCAGAATTAGGAATTACACTGCCTGAGGAACGGCATCCACACAGGCCTCCCTCTATCCTCCTCATGAACCATGCTGCCATGGGTTCAAATACTATTTGAAATCTTTCAAATATGTTTAGCATTTGCTTTAGCCTGCCTAGAGTGCCAGAGGAGCGGGGTTTGATGTTTTGGGACTATGCTATTGGTCCATTAAACCAGGCAAGTGTAAAAACAAGCACAGCTGAAGTATTTTAATGATTTCAAGTGCTATTTGAACCCAGTTCTGCCACACACACACACACACACACACACACACACACACACACACAGCGGGCCTCTCTCTATCATCCCCAGACATGGAAGTGATGTTAGGTTATCTGATGGGAAGGAACCCTGACAGGATCAAGATTAACCAGTCAGTGAAATACTGGAGCTGTAGCAGGTTGTTATCCTACATCTGGCCACCTTATCCTGATATTTCCTGATCTTCTGTGAATTTCACTACATACTCAGAAAGACATTGTGCTCATCATGAAATATATTTTCTGGACCTTTTCTTTTTACCATCGTAACAACTGGTGATAACTGATTATTACTGGTTTCAACTGGTTGTAACTGATTATTTAGATGGTCATAACTGATTATAACTGGAAAGGGTTGGGGCTGTTTGGGTGAGTTCATATCATTCTTAGGCTACATACTGGACATGCATGACAATAATTGTACTAATAGCCTAGGTTAAAGATGAAACAGTCAAACTTCAATGTGCACTCTGAGAAGGAAGTATATTATACTACTAGAGAGACTCAGTTGTGCTGAGCATTGTGGGCAATTACTGAAATCATTCCAAGTCTACTTCAGAGAAATGACAGCCCTCTCCTCGTCGTACACTTCTTCCATGAAGTCAGGACTGTAGCTCACTAGACTATGTCAAAGCATGCAGGCGTTAACAAACCCTGTTTAGTCACGATAAATACTAACTAGCCTACAGGATAGCACTCTGGCAAGAGGTGTATTCTGAGGGAAAGATCAAAGATCTTCTACAGATCAACATGACATGCAAGGGATGAAAGATTATCCTCATTCCTCTACCCATTGCACATAGGATTGTCATTGTAAACCGCCCTGCCGTTGGACTGACGGACTCTGACCTGTCCTTTTCCATTGTTATCCATGGTGAGCACACCCTTACTTCCCTGTCTGTTGCCATTCAGCTGACAGGGAAGCTGACAGACTCACAGAAGGGGAGTTCTATTTTCAGACAGCAAAGACCAAGGAAAGGAGCATATGCTACATACACAGTCGTAAACACTGGCTCAGTCAACTAGAGGGAGTAAGAGCACATTCATTACCACATGAATGAACATTCCCTCTACTGTAACAATGCCTTGATTGAGAACCACAACAGTTTCAGCACTATGATATCCAAATACACGTTAGCAAATAATGAGAAATGATCATCCTTTTCATTTAAAGACATTAACAGTTAAACTGAAGACATTTACATGACAGGAGGTCTGTGTATCGGTGCCTGGGTAACTGCCTCGATACAGATCCCATTCTATCTGATCTCCCATGAATGATTTAAACCAAACAGATGATATGGAATCACAGAGGAGAAGAGCAGGATCTCTACTGTATATTGGTGCTCGGTAAGCTACCAGCCTCTACACCTCCTATACAGATCCTATCCTGTCAAATCTGATCGTTGAAACAGACATAATTTAATCTGTCATTACAGGGCAGATATAGAAGCAGGCCCTCTACATCTTCATCTATTCTGTATCTAATCCAACATTATTTGAACCAAACGGATGATCTGATGATCCGTGTCCTCACAGGGTAGAAAGAAACAGCCCTCACCTGAGTCCTGGGAGGCTGAGGCTGCACCTGTGGAAACAGCGCTAGGGTGGTGGGTCTCTTGGGCCTGTACGTATCCATAGCGACCGGATGTTCCGCAGATTCTGATTCTATCACATTAGTCTGTTTCTGTCTGACAGGCGTTAGAACGACGCACCCTCTCTCTTCCTGGTTGAGCCTGTGGTCGTCTTGGGAACCATGGATCAGGCCCCAGTGCTCCACTTCCTCTTGGATATCCTCCTCAGCGTCGATCAGGTCCAAGTGGAGCATCTCCGCCTGCAATTCCCTGAATCCCCGCCCGTCTGCCTTCCCGGCCTCGCTACTGGCTGGCCACGTCACATGGTCCTGGGAAGATCCAGGCAGCATCAGCGTTGCAGCAGAGAGAGAGAGAATGATTCAGTGAGGAGGAGAGCAGAGGGAGGGAGGGGGAGAGAGCAGAGACGGAGCCAGCCAATCAGCGATCGCCAATGACATCAGCAGAGTCTGTGGCTCTTTCTCTCTCTTGCTCACTGTAATGTCATTCTAATCCAATCATACTGTAGCAGGATAAACCTCCCTGAAAACAAACACAGGCAGGGCTGGGCTATTGTTTTGTTCTGTGAGGAATACAACACCAGTGTGTAACACCCTTACTGTCTTTACACTGATGTCAAATCTAATGATAATGTTAATACTGAATCATTTAATTAACCACAAAATATTAAGATGTACACAAACCTACTGGAGGCTACATCAATGGCATCCTAAAAATCCTACAACCTTCCCCTAAGCGAATGCCTGTTCTGAAGTCTCCATTTGACTGATATTAAAATGACAGTTTGCCCAAGCAGCTAGTGTAGTAGAATCTCTGCATGGCTAAAGGCTGCGGGAAATGAAGTGATGACCAGGCTGTAACGATGAGTCATATGTTAGATCTACTTAGCTCTGGACCAGGTGTATCAGGACTATCCCTGCCTGCAATCATTCATCTGATAAGTGACTCTGGACTTTACTCAGATTCTTCTATTGCTGCAGCTACTCTCATTCTCACCTCACAAAATAAAATCACACGATGGGAGCAACATTTATCTAAATGTCTCAACATTCTATATTCTATTATGAACATTCATATTATGAAAAGTAGACTACAGCAGAGTCAAGTCAAACAGAGTGCATTGTGGTCGAAGGGAGGTAGGGGGGAGTTAGTTGAGGGAAGCAGGTGCAGAGGAGCTTGAGGCTGTGTGTACCAGACCTGGGTTCAGATATTATTTGAAATAATTGCAAATACTTGATCTGTGCTTGATTGAGCTTGCCTGGCTTAATGGACCAATATAAGTCGCAAAACTGCAAACCCAAACAGTATTTGAACCCAGGTCTGGTGTGTGTACATGTAGATTATCTTACCTGTGAGTCAAGGTCGTCGTAGTTGAGGCTTGCTCCAGCCTCGTCAGTGATCTCTGTGACCTGAGAGAGATCCTCGTCCTCAAACTCCTCCAGGCTGATGTCAGCCTGGACACACACGTCACACACACACACACACATCAATGAGAGGGGTGAACACACACCACGTTCTCTGTAGCTCAATTGGTAGAGCATGGCGCTTGTAACGCCAGGGTAGTGGGTTTGATCCCCGGGACCACTCATACGTAAAAATGTATGCACACATGACTGTAAGTCGCTTTGGATAAAAGCGTCTGCTAAATGCCATATTATTATTATCAAAGGGTAAACACAGGCGTGTCTGTCTGCAGATCAGTCATACTTTCATTTTATAATGGCAGTCAAAGTAAGGTACTGCCAGAATATACTTCTACTCTACATGCCAGGTGGACAACCATCTGTGATATCAAAATGCTCTAATAAACCCTATAACACATTAAAATTGTTGTAGAGAGAGAATGCGTGGAGAGAGAAAGAGAGAGAGAGAGAGAGAGAGAGAATAGTATGACTTCCATGTACATCAGCATAGTGCATTACTGCCAAGCAGTCTGGACTTTTATGGCAAAGGGGCTGGTTTGCTTATCCAGTAAACACAAGGCCGCTGCATGTCCCGCTTAGGCTGTTCTTCTTCAATTACTACACCAGTCAGACTTTCACTACCTACCTCTGCTTACCAGGGATGTATTCATTACGCCGATTCTGTTGCAAAATGTTTTGTCTGGTGCAAAACGTTTTGCAACAGAAACCGTTTACTCTAAACAGAAAACGGTTTGCAACGAAAACAAGAGTTTCTATTGGACAAATTCAGGTAGGTCCCTCCCCGTTTTGTTTGCTTCCGTTTGGTTCTTAAAACTGTAAACGGTTTCCGTTGCGAGACTTAATGAATACACCCCAGATTAAATATTGTCGTTCAAAAAGAGCTGCGCAGCATACACATAATGTATCTTCATTTCTCATATGCATTGTGCAGAAATGCTTGACAACAAATATGAAACCGACTATGTAAAACTTGTAGCACAGTGGTCTGTGGTTCCATACTTAGGAAATACATGAATCGGTATGTTATGCAAAGCTACTAATGTTATGCACTGAATTCATGTTAATTCTATACCTTTGACTTCCGGCCTTGTAATTCATTACCTTAGGTGGGAAGCTGCTAGTATTTACAGCACATACTTTGTTTACATAATGTGGACAACATTTCCTGGTACAACTTTTTAAAGCATCCTAATAGCATAGTAGAGGTTTTCCAGGAAGCAGTCTATCATTGGACATAATATCCTACAACCGTTAATATCTCTCTGATTTCACACCATATCACATCTAAATAAGGCATCCTGGCTTCTGCTGTTACCCTGTTAGAAAAGAACCCTCTGATGAGACTATGCACAGTGAATCTTTACCCCAGGTAAAGGTCTATAACTCAGCCTGAGACATTAATTAGTCACCAAATGGAAAATATGGACTGAAACTGGGATGGAATCACTTGAAGTAGTCCAAACATAAACACTTGTTTTTGTTTTCCATTGCAAAACATTTTGTTACGTTTTGCCCTAATGAATACTACCCTGGTTTAACTCTAGAAGTGCAGCCCTACTGTACCATTTCTCCCACTGGTCTTCCATCCACTTCTCTCCATCCTCCTCCTCCCTCCACTGTTCTCCATCCTCGTTGTACTCCATGGCCAGACTGAGGCAGAGTAACATCAGCTGGGCAGAGCAGGGCAGGCAGAGGGACCAGGAAGTGATCGATTCAACAGTCAATTAAGGCACTTCCCCCTTTCAACAGAGCATCATTCACAATCTTCCCAGACTCTTCACTCGCCATCCACTCTGGCCCACACAACAGCATCAGCACCACAACACTGAGGGGACACACACAATTTTTTTTAGTTGTATTGTTTGTATAATTTGTTGTATTGTTTGCATATCGTTGTATTTAAAATGTGTGTGACTGTCCTTGTCTATCAGTGTAGTTACTTGTCATGTTCTGTGTTCTTTGTGGACCCCTGGAAGAGTTGCAGCTGCCTCTGCAAAAGCTAATGGGGACCCTAATAAACAAACACTGAGGGATCCAGTCAAAAGATAGACCAGCTTATTTTCGACACAGCATAGATCTCGTCTTCACCGAAGCACTTAGTGGGGAAAAAAAGTATTTAGTCAGCCACCAATTGTGCAAGTTCTCCCACTTAAAAAGATGAGAGAGGCCTGTAATTTTCATCATAGGTACACGTCAACTATGACAGACAAATTGAGAAAAAAAATTCCAGATAATCATATTGTAGGATTTTTTATGAATTTATTTGCAAATTATGGTGGAAAATAAGTATTTGGTCAATAACAAACAAGCAAGATTTCTGGCTCTCACAGACCTGTAACTTCTTCTTTAAGAGGCTCCTCTGTCCTCCAATCGTTACCTGTATTAATGGCACCTGTTTGAACTTGTTATCAGTATAAAAGACACCTGTCCACAACCTCAAACAGTCACACTCCAAACTCCACTATGGCCAAGACCAAAGAGCTGTCAAAGGACACCAGAAACAAAATTGTAGACCTGCACCAGGCTGGGAAGACTGAATCTGCAATAGGTAAGCAGCTTGGTTTGAAGAAATCAACTGTGGGAGCAATTATTAGGAAATGGAAGACCTACAAGACCACTGATAATCTCCCTCGATCTGGGGCTCCACGCAAGATCTCACCCCGTGGGGTCAAAATGATCACAAGAACAGTGAGCAAAAATCCCAGAACCACACGGGGGGACCTAGTGAATGACCTGCAGAGAGCTGGGACCAAAGTAACAAAGCCTACCATCAGTAACACACTACGCCGCCAGGGACTCAAATCCTGCAGTGCCAGACGTGTCCCCCTGCTTAAGCCAGTACATGTCCAGGCCCGTCTGAAGTTTGCTAGAGTGCATTTGGATGATCCAGAAGAGGATTGGGAGAATGTCATATGGTCAGATGAAACCAAAATAGAACTTTTTGGTAAAAACTCAACTCGTTGTGTTTGGAGGACAAAGAATGCTGAGTTGCATCCAAAGAACACCATACCTACTGTGAAGCATGTGGGTGGAAACATCATGCTTTGGGGCTGTTTTTCTGCAAAGGGACCAGGACGACTGATCCGTGTAAAGGAAAGAATGAATGGGGCCATGTATCGTGAGATTTTGAGTGAAAACCTCCTTCCATCAGCAAGGGCATTGAAGATGAAACGTGGCTGGGTCTTTCAGCATGACAATGATCCCAAACACACCGCCCGGGCAACGAAGGAGTGGCTTTTCAAGGTCCTGGAGTGGCCTAGCCAGTCTCCAGATCTCAACCCCATAGAAAATCTTTGGAGGGAGTTGAAAGTCCGTGTTGCCCAGCGACAGCCCAAAAACATCACTGCTCTAGAGGAGATCTGCATGGAGGAATGGGCCAAAATACCAGCAACAGTGTGTGAAAACCTTGTGAAGACTTACAGAAAACGTTTGACCTGTGTCATTGCCAACAAAGGGTATATAACAAAGTATTGAGAAACTTTTGTTATTGACCAAATAAACAGCGCCGGAGAAGATGGCTGCCGTTTTACAGCCCTCTAACCAATTGTACTATTATGTGTGTTTTTCCGCGTTATTTGTAATTTATTTTGTACATAATGTTTCTGCCATCGTCTCTTATAACCAAAAAGAGCTTCTGGATATCAGGACAGCGATTACTCACCTCGTATTGGATGAAGATTTTTTCTTCAACGAGGCGGCCGCAAAGGATATCATACAGACACCCGACAAGGCCCAAATCCCCGTCATTCGCGTGAGGAAGAGACGGAGATATCGTGGACGTAGATCGGGGTGCCTTGTAAGGATCCGACGGCGAGCGAGTAAACTGCCTCTTCCATCAATCCTATTAGCCAACGTTCAATCATTGGAGAACAAATTGGACGACTTAAGATTACGGTTATCCTACCAACGGGACATTAAAAACTGTAATATCTTATGTTTCACCGAGTCGTGGTTGAACGACGACATGGATTTCATACAGCTAGCGGGCTATACGCTACATCGGCAGGATAGAACGGCTGGTAAGACAAGGGGTGGCGGTGTATATTTGTAAACAACAGCTGGTGCACAAAATCAAATACTAAGGAAGTCTCGAGGTTTTGCTCGCCTGAGGTAGAGTATCTTATGATAAGCTGTAGACCACACTATTTACCAAGAGAGTTTTCAGCTATATTTTTCATAGCTGTCTATTTACCACCACAAACCAATGCTGGCATTAAGATTGCACTGAATGAGTTGTACAAGGCCATAAATCAACAGGAAAACGCTCATCCAGATGCAGCGCTCCTAGTGGCCGGGGACTTTAATGCAGGGAAACTTAAATCCGTTCTACCTAATTTCTACCAGCATGTTAAATGTGCAACCGGAGGAAAAAAAAACTCTAGACCACCTTTACTCCACACACAGAGACGCATACAAAGCTCTCCCTCGCCCTCCATTTGGCAAATCTGACCATAACTCTATCCTCCTGATTCCTGCTTATAAGCAAAAACTAAAGCAGGAAGCACCAGTGACTCGGTTAATAAAAAAGTGGTCAGATGACGCAGATGCTAAGCTACAGGACTGTTTTGCTAGCACAGACTGGAACATGTTCCGGGATTCTTCAGACAGCATTGAGGAGTACACCACATCAGTCACTGGCTTCATCAATAAGTGCATCGATGATGTCGTCCCCACAGTGACCGTACGTACATACCCCAACCAGAAGCCATGGATTACAGGAAACATCCGCACTGAGCTAAAGGGTAGAGCTGCCGCTTTCAAGGAACGGGACTCTAACCCGGACGCTTATAAGAAATCCCGCTATGACCTCCGACAAACCATCAAACAGGCAAAGAGTCAATACAGGACTAAGATTGAATCGTACTACACTGGCTCTGACGCTCGTCGGATGTGGCAGGGCTTGAAAACTATCACAGACTACAAAGGGAGCACAGCCGCGAGCTGCCCAGTGACACAAGCCTACCAGACGAGCTAAACCACTTCTATGCTCGCTTCGAGGCAAGCAACACTGAAGCATGCATGAGAGCACCAGCTGTTCCGGATGACTATGTGATCACGCTCTCCGTAGCCGATGTGAGTAAGACTTTTAAGCAGGTCAACATTCACAAGGCCGCAGGGCCAGACGGATTACCAGGACGTGTACTCCGAGCATGTGCTGACCAACTGGCAAGTGTCTTCACTGACATTTTCAACATGTCCCTGACTGAGTCTGTAATACCAACATGTTTCAAGCAGACCACCATAGTCCCCGTGCCCAAGGACTCTAAGATAACCTGCCTAAATGACTACCGACCCGTAGCACTGACGTCTGTAGCCATGAAGTGCTTTGAAAGGCTGGTCATGGCTCACATCAACAGCATTATCCCAGAAACCCTAGACCCACTCCAATTTGCATACCGCCCCAACAGATCCACAGATGATGCAATCTCTATTGCACTCCACACTGCCCTTTCCCACCTGGACAAGAGGAACACCTACGTGAGAATGCTATTCATTGACTACAGCTCAGCATTCAACACCATAGTGCCCTCTAAGCTCATCACTAAGCTAAGGATCCTGGGACTAAACACCTCCCTCTGCAACTGGATCCTGGACTTCCTGACGGGCCGCCCCCAGGTGGTAAGGGTAGGTAACAACACATCTGCCACACTGATCCTCAACACGGGGGCCCCTCAGGGGTGCGTGCTCAGTCCCCTCCTGTACTCCCTGTTCACCCATGACTGCATGGCCAGGCACGACTCCAACACCATCATTAAGTTTGCCGACGACACAACAGTGGTAGGCCTGATTACCGACAACGATGAGACAGCCTATAGGGAGGAGGTCAGAGACCTGGCCGTGTGGTGCCAGGACAACAACCTCTCCCTCAACGTGACCAAGACAAAGGAGATGATTGTGGACTACAGGAAAAAAAAAGAGGACTGAGCACGCCCCCATTTTCATCGACGGGGCTGTAGTGGAACAGGTTGAGAGCTTCAAGTTCCATGGTGTCCACATCACCAACGAACTATCATGGTCCAAACACACCAAGACAGTCGTGAAGAGGGCACGACAAAGCCTATTCCCCCTCAGGAGACTGAAAAGATTTGGCATGGGTCCTCAGATCCTCAAAAAATTCTACAGCTGCACCATCGAGAGCATCCTGACTGGTTGCATCACCGCCTGGTATGGCAACTGCTTGGCCTCCAACCGCAAGGCACTACAGAGGGTAGTGCGTACGGCCCAGTACATCACTGGGGCCAAGCTTCCTGCCATCCAGGACCTCTATACCAGGCGGTGTCAGAGGAAGGCCCTCAAAATTGTCAAAGACTCCAGCCACCCTAGTCATAGACTGTTCTCTCTGCTACCGCACGGCAAGCGGTACCGGAGTGCCAAGTCTAGGTCCAAAAGACTTCTCAACAGCTTCTACCCCCAAGCCATAAGACTCCTGAACAGCTAATCATGGCTACCCGGACTATTTGCACTGCCCCCCCACCCCATCCTTTTTACGCTGCTGCTACTCTGTTAATTATTTATGCATAGTCACTTTAACTCTACCCACATGTACATATTACCTCAACTACCTCAACTAGCCGGTGCCCCCGCACATTGACTCTGCAACGATACCCCCCTGTATATATAGCCTCCCTACTGTCACTTTATTTTACTTCTGCTCTTTTTTCTCTCAACACTGTTGGTTAAGGGCTGTAAGTAAGCATTTCACTGTGATGTCTGCACCTGTTGTATTCAGCGCATGTGACCAATACAATTTGATTTGATTTTGCAAATAAATTCATTAAAAATCCTACAATGTGATTTTCTGGATAGTTGACGTGTACCTATGAT